TAGTTGGGACATGCTCTGGGAGCCCATGGAGCCAGGACCCATGTTAGACCGCCTTTGCACCTGCAGGCTCCCTTGGGGCGCAAGAGGAGACATGACGACATCACATAGGAAGCTTCAGCGAGGATCGCAGATAAACTGCCTCTGGCACTGGAGGGTCCATCAAGCAGTAGCTGAGCCCTGCCCAAAGATCTCTGCTGAATGAGACAAAGGAAGCCACGGGACAGGAACCCCCTTTTCCCGAAGGGGGGCAGGGGGAGTGCATTGGACTCTGGACAGGTGACATGGTCAGCGGCCCAGGCGAGGACCACCGAAAAGGGCACAGGTGACTCCCCTGTTTGGGGCACTTCTGCTCCATGACAGATAACCACCTTTTTAAAAAAAAAAAAAAAAAGAAATATCATCTCAGATGTGGATTTAAAGGGCTGTGCTGGCTTTTCCTGCTGTCTGAGTCCCTGGGGCAAAGAAACATGCCTGATGCCTATAGTTTCCGCACCCCGCCTTGGGCAAAAGACGCCTGCCTTGTAGCAGGTAGAACTAGATGAGCCTCCCAACCATTCTATCATTCTTTTTCCTGGTTTTCCTAGCAACATCCTCACCAGGTCCTTTTCTGGAGATGAAATGCGGAAAGAATGGAAACCTTTCCACTGAGGCAGTTCCTGCGCTACTGACTCTCCAGCTTTGGGACTGTCAAAAGAAAACATGAACCGGTTTGAGTCGGGCGGCCACATTCCTTTCCGCAAGGGGGACTCAGGTTGCTTCTGTCGTCTGTGTGCTCAAGGTGTGCTCTGGGAGGGGCCTGTGAGCCAACAGTGACCTCATGGGGGAAGGAGGGGCCGGAGCAGCTGGCCAGGCGTCCCAAGGGTGTGGCTGGCTGAAAATCAGCCAGGCAGCCACTTTGGGGTCTCCCAGAGGGCGGCAAGTGCCAGCGAGGAGGAAGAAGCCCAGCGCCAGGTGAGTGTCTGGACACCTGCCCCTAGAACCCACCTGGGCTGCCCTTCTGGGTGCAGGGATGCAAGGTAGGTCTGCCGGGGAAAACGGCACTGGCTCAGCACCCTGGAGGGACTCCCTGGATCTGAGGCAGTTCCTGGAAGGAGACTTAGCAGGGGAAACCCTCTCCTGAAATCTTCATCTTGTTCCGTGTGTGTAAAGGCTGTCAGCATTTCTGTGTGATTTTATTTTCGGGAGCGTTTCTTATTTTATTGTATGGCTTGTTTATCTGATGGACATTTTTCCAGAAAAAGACTGCTCAGAGGCATTTTTATATAATAATAATAATTTATTATTTATACCCCGCCCATCTGGCTGGGCTTCCCCAGCCACTCTGGGCGGCTTCCAAAAAAATATTAAAATACTGTAATACATCAAAAAAAGCTTCCCTAAACAGAGCTGCCTTCAGACATCTTCTAAAAGTCTGGTAGTTGTTGTTCTCTTTGACATCTGGTGGGAGGGCGTTCCACAGGGTGGGTGCCACTACCGAGAAGGCCCTCTGCCTGGTTCCCTGTAACTTGGCTTCTTGCAGCGAGGGAACCGCCAGAAGGCCCTCAGCGCTGGACCTCAGCGTCCGGGCAGAACGATGGGGGTGGAGACGCTCCTTCAGGTATACTGGACCGAGGCCATTTAGGGCTTTAAAGGTCAGCACCAACACTTTGAATTGTCCTCGGAAATGTACTTTTCAATATGTTTTAAAAATGACAACAATCTTAAAAAACACAGGTGCGATGGAGCAGAGTGGCTGGAGAAACCCAGACAGATGGGTGGGGTATAAATAATAAATTATTATTATTATAGTATTATTATAATAATAAACTGCAACAAACCGATTTCATGGTTTACATGCAGCTGCATTTGAAATGACAACGGCAACTTCTAGCTCAGTTGGTAGAACATGAGACACAACCTCATGGTCATGGGCAAAAGGTCCCTGAGGGTTGGACAAGGTGACCCTCATGGTCCTTTCCAACTCTACAAAAAACATCAACACCTGAACCCCAGTTTGGTCAATACTGCAGGCAGGCTGTCACTGAAGCCAAAGTTTCCTCCCAACTGATTATGGGCTCCTGCTCAGAATAGAGTCCACCCTCCGGTATGTAAGATTTGTGTCTTACAAATAAGAAATAGGCACAGAAGGCAAGTTAAAAATGATAGGAGTGATTAACCCTGATTTTTTATATATCCTGATTTCCTCTCCCCCCTCCCCAAATTTCAACTGGTGCAGTTTTCAGTCTCTTATCTCCCAGCCTTTCAGCATTGGGGGGATTTTAATTCTCCCTAATTCTGTAGGGCCCCCCACATTTCTGGGGCTTCACCAAGGATCACATCCCACAAATGTCCTGACCCCACAAGCAGCTTATCCCTTGACTGATACATGCCAGCTGTCTTGTCAGGGTCTGCAGCAGCCACATTGACATTTGACTGTTTAGATTAGCACTTCAGGCAGTTGTCCAAACTGGGTTGCCACATTTTTTCCGCTGGCCCTGCTCCTGTGCATTGTATAGCTGCCCTACCCCTTAACACGTATGGGAAGCCTCTGAATCTCAGGGTTATGGGTTCAAATTCCATGCTGAACAAGATTCCTGCATTGCAGGCTACACTTCTATGATGCCTGGCACAGAGGAAATCTGATGCTGTAAGTGAGAAGAGTTTGGATTTGATATCCCGCCTTTCACTCCCCTTCAGGAGTCTCAAAGCGGCTAACAATCTCCTTTCCCTTCCTCCCCCACAACAAACACTCTGTGAGGTGAGTGAGGCTGAGAGACTTCAGAGAAGTGGGACTGGCCCAAGGTCACCCAGCAGCTGCATGTGGAGGAGCGGAGACGCGAACCCGGTTACCCAGATTACGTGACTACCGCTCTTAACCACTACACCACACTGGCTCTGTGGTGCTGAGGGTTAAACAAGTGGCGCTGTGGGTTAAACCACAGAGCCTAGGACTTGCCGATCAGAAGGTCGGTGGTTCAAATCCCCGCGACGGGGTGAGCTCCCGTTGCTCAGTCCCTGCTCCTGCCAACCTAGCAATTCGAAAGCACATCAAAGTGCAAGTAGATAAATAGGCACCGCTCTGGCAGGAAGGTAAATGGCGTTTCCGTGCGCTGCTCTGGTTCGCCAGAAGCGGCTTAGTCATGCTGGCCACATGACCCGGAAGCTCGGCCAATAAAGTGAGATGAGCGTCGCAACCCCAGAGTCAGTCACGACTGGACCTAATGGTCAGGGGTCCCTTTACCTTTACTTTTAAGCCTTCTCCTCTGGAGTGTGCGGTTAGGGTTAACACTTTCCCCATTCCCACCCTCCCTTGGACTCACTGTCCCTAAACTGCATGGCAAGCACTTTAGACAATCTACACAATCTTAATAATCCCCTTGCCTCACAACTTGGAGCAGGAAGCCTCCTGTCCATAGCTGTCAACCTTCCCTTTTTTTTGCGGGAAATTCCCTTATTCCAGCGCCGTTTCCTGCTGCTTCCCGCTGCCATCCAGGATTGTTAGATATTCCGTAGACTGTCCCTGGGACAGGTGAGGCTGCCAATCCCTTATTTTCGAGGCCGCTGATCCCTTATTTTCAATTCTGAAAGTTGACAGCTATGCTCCTGTCCCCTGGCAAGGGCATTGCTTGTGTGCAGGGAGGAAAGCACTCCCAGTTGAACTTTGGCCTGGCTGTGTCGGTGCGCATGAGCAAGCCAGGGAAAAACAGGCGGCTGCTCCCTCCCAGCCTTCCTCCCCCTTCTCTTGGACTCTCTGCCACATTCGTTGTCACTCTTCTTCCAAGGGGGAGCGGCAGCCAGACAACTGGTTGAAAGCAGGGAGAGAGATGGCAAAATATTGGTTTTGGCCACCTGCCCAACTCCTAAGAAAAGCTCTGCAGAGTTGGCTGCGCTTAGGAGGAAATGCTGCCCTTCCTGGTCAGAGAGAGGACCTGTTTCCCCCGCTGCCTTCAGTCCTAGAATCATAGAATTGTAGAGCTGGAAGGGACCTCAGGGGTCATCTAGTATAACCCTCTGCAAGGCAGGAATCCCCACACCAGGCACTCAGGACAGATGGCCATCCAAGCTCTGCTTCAAAACCTGCAAGAAAGCATTTCAGTGAAAGGACTGGAAGTGGATTGGTGACTTTGAAGGCCTTTGTATGCCAACTTCCCCATTTCCTTCCTTGAGTGCAGGGACTGTATTTTCCATGGAAGTAGGACTCTCTTTTTTGCACCACTTTTAATGGTTCTGAGAGACACGGAGAAAAAGGACACGCAGGACATTCCAGTGTCAAATAAAAAACTGGGGTGGCTTTTGTAGTTCTGGAATTGTCCCTGGAAAAGCAGGAGACATTGAGGGTCTGAGAGTTACATTGTCAGGCCATTGACAGAAGAGCTCCTATTGCATTAGCTGCAGTTATGTGTGGGGGTTTGGGGTATGTGTGAAAGCACTTATCCCCGTGTCTTTATTATAATGTCTGTAACAGTGATCTAAAAGGTAAAGGTACCCCTGCCCATACGGGCCAGTCTTGACAGACTCTAGGGTTGTGCGCCCATCTCACTCAAGAGGCCGGGGGCCAGCGCTGTCCGGAGACACTTCTGGGTCACGTGGCCAGCATGACATTGCTGCTCTGGCGAGCCAGAGCCGCACACGGAAATGCCGTTTACCTTCCCGCTAGTAAGCGGTCCCTATTTATCTACTTGCACCTGGGGGTGCTTTCGAACTGCTAGGTTGGCAGGTGCTGGGACCGAACAACGGGAGCGCACCCCGCCGCGGGGATTCGAACCACCGACCTTTCAATCGGCAAGCCCTAGGCGCTGAGGCTTTTACCCACAGCGTCACCCGCATCCCTAACAGTGATCTATAATTTCTTAAATATAAATGAATAAGACAACTGATGATTTTTCAACCATTTCTCCCCACGCTCTTTCTTCTATAGAGCTGGGGTGATCTGCTGCTGGCCTGAAAGCCATCTCTCCCATTGACCATCCGGCTGCAAACTTCTCACCCTGCGGCTCCCAGGAGCTTCCTGCTGGATTCCCATGGATCGCGGGCTGACCGTCGAAAACCCCTATGCCAGCGTGAGCCTCCCTCGTGCCCAGCTGCCAGGCAGCTTCCTGAAGTATTACCTGGGCGAGGGCTGCACCCCAGACACGGTTCTCTCTGACCCCAGCAGCTGCTGCACTTACTCGGCGCAGGAGAAGGAGAGGGAGGCCGCTCCGCAGGGGGGGGCACCCAATGCCCCCTGGGGCACGCAGAGGATCTCGACGCAGGAATCGTGGGCCCAGCCATACAACCCCTATGCCAGCCTCAAGATGCCCCACCAGGGCTCTCCACAACCCTTCCACTGGAAGAGCCAGCAGGAGGGCTGCTGCTGCTCCTGTTTCAGAAAATGCTGCCCCTGCTGCTGCAGGAAATGCCCCTGCATCATCTCCTAACTCTGCCGGCGTTCGCTGGGGGTTGCTCCTAGTCTGCTCTCCAGGTGTCTCTCACTTAAGGGCGCAGAGTGGGGCACGAGCTCTCCCTGGACCCCTTTTTCTTCTGCGTCTCTGAACAAGAGGTGGGTCAGGTGGATGGGAGGCAGGGAGTTGCTGGCTACTTGGGTGCCAGAAATGCCTGGCCTTGGGGGCAGGATTGGGCCCTCTTGTGCTTTGTAAGAGCACCCATCACCTCAGTCCTTTGGAGGCAGAGGTTGCCAAACCCCAAACCTGTGGAAAGGCTGGTCTGGGGCAACTGGTCGCCAGGGTTCCCTTTCGTTATGGGCCAAATCAGCTGCTTCGAGGGGGACTCTGCCTCCCCTTCCGCCTCCTCTCTTCCTCTCCAGCACAGACTCTTTTTTTCCACATTCCTATGAGCTTTCTGCTCTGTTCTTCCCTTATCCGAAGTGAAAGGAGCTGCTGTGGTTGCCTTTCTGGGCATGAGGTGACAGAACATTCCTAGGACTCACACACCAAAGATCGCCTTGTGGGCCAAAGCAGCCGTGTCCTTGAGCCTCCATTGGCAGCGCCACTCAGCCTCAGCTCCCCATATTTGGTGCACAGTCTCTCTCTTCCTCCTCCTCTGCCGCTGCAAAGGCTTCCTAGTGTCACTTGAAAGTAGGGTGGCCATCTGCGGGAAGTGGCTGCTTTGTGGAGGGCAGGGGGCCACACACCAAGAAGAAGAAGAGGAGTAGTTTGGATTTGATATCCTGCTTTATCACTACCTGAAGGAGTCTCAAAGCGGCTAACAATCTCCTTTCCCTTCCTCCCCCACAACAAACACTCTGTGAGGTGAGTGGGGCTGAGAGACTTCAGAGAAGTGTGACTAGCCCAAGGTCACCCAGCAGCTGCATGTGGAGGAGCGGGGAAGCGAACCCGGTTCACCAGATTACGAGTCTACCGCTCTTAACCACTACACCACACTGGCTCTTAGCCACTACACCAACTGCCTGGTGTCACAAGGCTGGGAAATATATTCTGTTGCCAAGGAAAAGAACCTCAGAGGATCCTCACCGTTGTCTGGATGGTGTGCTCTTAACGGTTCATAATAAAGAAACAGAAGACAAAGGAAAATATATCCACTATTCTTCTTTTTGACTCTTGCACATTGAAAGCACCCTTGAGGAGGCGGGTTCGGGGGGGTGTTCTTCATGTCTTTTATTATTGAAAAAGCATGCCTATTTCTGTGGAAGTGACTTGGAAGTGGCACTTGAATTCCTGGAAGAGGGGGCTGCCCACTTTAGCTTGATCAGGGTCAAGCAAGAATTGCCTTCCATGGGATGGAGTTGGGGGGTGTGTGCTTGTGAAGTTCACAAAGGGCGCTCTCTTTCCACCTGGTTGGAAGCTGGTCAGGTTGCCCTGGGGGGAGGGAAACAGGGCTGCCCACACCCCTCCCCACAAAATAGCCCTGCTGGAGGGCTTCCTGTGTGATTTCCCCCAACCTCCCTGTACTGCAAGGATAGTTCTCCCTGGACCGGGGGGGGGCGGCGGCCAGTCTTCACCCTGCTTACTCGCCCCCCCCCCCGGGTTTCCTAGTTCTCTGGGGAGTTGTGGTCCTGAGGGCACCAACTTGGTGCAGACCCAGAGATGCTGCAGAGCTTCACAAGCTGAAAGCCACTGTGATGGGGGGGGTACCGTCCGCTGTCTGGGTGCATTGGAGGCCAGTTTGCACAAACTAGGTGCCAGTGGCTGCAGATGCCTCTGAGCCCTTTGTGTGCCACAGCAGAGACTCTTCAGGGGCATCAGCTGTCTTGAGTTCAGGTTTCACAACAAGGCTCACCAGAGTTATAAACCCAGAGACACATCCGGAGGATTGGAAAAGGCTCACATCCTCCCCAGAGTTGCCCCAGAACCTGGAATCTCCAGCCGGATCTGTTTGGGATACTTCTCACAGCAGTTTGATATGAACAAAGCAGCCAGGAAAAGGTTCTGTTTCTTAGTTTACAGCATTTGGTGACCCCCAAAAGGCTCCCCAAGTAGCTCACATACGAAACAAGATGGAAACACCCATTCTCATTCAGACATGTTGGCAGCACCAGCCTAACTGCATGACATGCAGCCCGAGACTGGGCACCAAGGATCCTGGGTCCTCCTGAATCCACTGGGTTCCTGCCATGGAGAGTCTTCCCTTTGCAGCAGCTGCGAAAGAGAAGGATAGGCAAGAAAGAGCTGACTTGGCCATTTGGCCATTTCAGGCGCCCCAGCGATGCTGCCCTGACTTGGCAAATGTCCCCTGGCAATTCCTCCAGGGCCCATTTGCTCCACCCCTATCATTCTGCCCGGACGCTGAGGTCCAGCGCTGAGGGCCTTCTGGCAGTTCCCTTATTGAGAGAAGCAAAGCTACAGGGGACCAGGCAGAGGGCCTTCTCCGTAGTGGCACCCGCCTTGTGGAACGCCCTCCCATCAGATGTCAAAGAGATAAACAACTGCCTAACATTTAGAAGACATCTGAAGGCAGCCCTCTTCAGGGAAGTTTTTAATGGGTGACATTTTAATGTATTTTTCATCTTTGTTGGAAGCCGCCCAGAGTGGCTGGGGAAACCCAGCCAGATGGGTGGGGTACAAATAATAAATTATTATTATTATTATTATTATTATTATTATTATTATTACTGCTGAACTGCTGTTTGCCCTGGCGCAGCCTCGCCTCTCCGTCCACATGTTTCCTTGCACTGTGCCCGGCATTTGTGGCCAGTCAAGATTGTGCCCGTTCTGAACAGAGCAGACGCTGCTGGGGACGTAACGCCGCCATGGTGGGTGAGGGCACAGCGTGATGCCAAATGCGCCCTCTGGTGTGACATCCTGAGGGCGGGCAGAGGTAGAAGCCACTGGCGGAAATGGCGCTGCCACCATGCTGGGCCCAGTGGTGCCATCGTAGGAGACACGCAAAGAGTAGGATCAGGGTTGAAACACATAAATTTGGTAGGATTGCTACATTTTACAACAGAGCCATTGATTTAAACAGAGTAAAATGAAAAGGTGAAAAGGAAAAACGTAAAATAGAATCCTAGAATAGGGTCCCGTGGGTCATCTAGTCTGACCCCGCAATGCAGGAATCTCAGCGAAAGCATCCAAGACAGATGGCCGTCCGGCCTCTGCTTCAAAACTTCCCAGGAAGGAGAGACCACAAAATGGGCAGGTTGAATGCTTAAGTTGTGGGGGAAGGTGGGGTTGGTGCGATAATGTCATCACGCCGGGTACTCCTATGTGGGTGTATCTGCATGTGGGCAGACCCGCCTGGAGACGGATAGAGGAGCAATCTTTACCCACAGACTAAAGTTTTGCTCATCCATCTTTGCTCTCAGGAAGCCAATAAGAGAACAGAAGGAATCCCTTGGTCTTCTGCCAAGTTCCTTCTGTCCTAATGAGAGGCGCCAGCAAATCCTACAAAGCAAATACATTGTTCTCTTATACAACTGACATACTGGAGAAGAAAAGGGTTCTCTCAGGAAGTGTGGATGAGTCTTGCCAGGAACCACAGCCCTGACTCAAGCTTTCTTTTAGAAAAGAAGGAGAAGGAAGCCCCTAGCCGTCCCAGAAGGAAAGGGACCGTGCAAAATGTGCAGGCACCTTGAGCGATTTTGGGAATCAGCCTGGCTGCCCCTGCCTTTCAGCGTTTTCTGTCAATGAATAAAGTCAGAACTGTGACTGACGTGCAAGGAATTTGCACCGAGTGTCATTTGGACACTAAGCTGTCGTGGGGGCCCTAACTCTAAGGTCCCAAAGAGATGCTCTCCCTCCCACCCTCACTTCAGGGCACATTTACTTCCCGGGTGCTCTCTGGTTTCTAGCGCTTGGAGTCTGAAACCTTGTCAAGTCATACCATGTGGGATTGGTTTCCATTTTTCTTCATTCTGAGGGCCAGAATTTCTTCCTTCCGGCCAATACCCTGAGGCCCACATGCGAGAGGCAAAGGACATGTGTGCAGGGCCAAAGGAAAGCCGGAAAAAAACAAGAAGTAGGATTCACCTTTTTCTGTGATTCTGAGTTGCTTCGTGGTTTTTATTTTTTTATTTTAATGTCATCCTTGGGAGCTGAGGGTGTAGGGAGCATCAACAATAATAACAGTACTAGTAATAGTAAGAGTAACAGTAACAGTAAGTGATCCAGGGTCACTAGCCAGTCCGAGCTGTTTCCCAGGGTGAGACTGCTGCTGCAGGCTGACAGCTTCCAGGAGCCCCGGGTGAGAGCAGACTGGGGGGGCATAACAGGAACCATTCCCCCCCCCAAGGTAAGACCCCCTTCCCCCCTAACATTCCAGACACCAGAGATCAGAGGGACCCAAGGCCAGGAAATGGCCCTCACATGAGAAGAAGGGAGGAGGGAGGACCCTCTGCGGAAATAGGCTGCGGGCGCCATTTTTGAAGAGGGAAATAGCCGGCAGAAGTGCCTCCATGGTGGAAGAGGGCAGAGAGCGCCACTGACGCCATTTTAGGAGAGGACTGCAGCCAGGCAGATGGAGAGATGCTAGGCCCAGAGGTGGCTCCAGAAATCTCCATCCAGTTGCAAAAGGTGGGTTTCCCGTAGTAAAATGCAACTGGAACAATGGGAGTATCGAACGCTACCCATACTCAGTTTGGCACCCCCATCCGCATTTGCATACCCACACACAGAGGCTGGGAGCCCCAATGTCACAAGCATCAGTGGGGCTCGGCCCCTGCAACACTGGCCAAAGCCAAAAGTCTATTGAAGAAGTAATATTTACAAATACTGGCATGTATGTTTGTGTTTTGGACTCAGTTTGCAGTTTGCAATGTTAAGAGGTGCTCTAAAGAAAAGCACTTTCTACATTTATGAGCATTCCCTTAGAGTATGCTCATGTTTTTAACTTTTGCTGGAAGCTACCCTGAGTGACTAGGGAAACGCAGCCAGATGGGTGGGGTATAAATAATAAAATTATATTGCTGCTGCTGCTGCTGCTGCTGCTGTACAGTGGTACCTCGGGTTCAGTACTTAATTTG